CAATCAAGTGTAGACTCGTCATATTATATTTATATCTCGCATGTAAAATCGCGTTCTACATGTACCTTTAACAGTTTATATTTCACAACTGTGTATTCTGGCTTCCCTTAAAAAAGATCGGTATTACTATGGTGCTGTAGGGATATCTCTGTCAATCTGTATAATAGAGTACAAAAACAACTTTATCATGTCACCTTAAACACTGATCTTATTACAAAACTTTCCAATTTTGGTCGCAGCTATGGATAATCTGTAGGTCTAAACCAGGGAAGCATGGGGCTCCTTAAAGGGGTAAAAACATATCCGACTATTTGGTTAACCGGCTAACAGTTGACAACCCAAACTAAAAACAACGTCATTTTCGTCCATATGTCCATCACGTCTGTCCGCTTGTCTGTATTGTCTGTTTTTTGAAAGATCGCCTTGATATGTGATTTAGTACGACCCTGCTTGATGGCATTTAAAATCTCTACATAAAGTCGGATATACATATTTCATGGGAGTCTGAATTACGCAAAATATATGTAATGAACACATCAACATCTTATTCATTTCTCATCAAGAATTTAAGAGCACCAAACTGATTGTAACTCTGATTTGACTTTTTAAAAACCCATTTTATTGTTACAGAGTATACAGCAAAGACTGGACATAAGTTATCGTAACCTACGAAACGTCCCTCTTATTCAAGTTAAAAAGCCGGGTTTGATACCAGTCATTCCCATCTTATTCCAGTTACACATCCTGGTTTGATACCAGTCATTCCCCTCTTATTCCAGTTACACAACCGGGTTTGATACCAGTCATTCCCTTCTTATTCAAGTTACACAACCGGGTTTGATACCAGTTATTCTCCTCGTAATCCAGTTACACAAACGGGTTTGATACCAGTCATTCCCCTCTTATTCCAGTTACACAACCGGGTTTGATATCAGTCATTCCCCTCTTATTCCAGTTACACAACCGGGTTTGATACCTGTCATTCCCAACCTATTCCAGTTACACAACCGGGTTTGATACGAGTCATTCTTCTCTTATTCCAGTTACACAACCGGGTTTGATACCAGTCATTCCCCTCTTATTCCAGTTACACAAACGGGTTTGATACCAGTCATTCCCTTCTCATTCCAGTTATACAACCAGGTTTAATACCAGTCATTCTCCTTTTATTCAAGTTACACAGGTTTGCTACCTGTCATTCCCCTCTTATTCCAGTTACACAACCAGGTTTGATACCAGTCATTCCCTTCTTATTCCAGTTATTCAAACGGGTTTGATACCAGTCTGTATCCTCTTGTTCAAGTTACACAGCCGGGTTTGATACTAATCCTCCTCCTCTTATTCCAGTTACACAACCAGATTTGATACCAGTCATTCCCTTCTTATTCCAGTTATACAACCGGGTTTGATACTTGTCATTTCCCTCTTATTCCAGTTACACAAACGGGTTTGATACCAGTCATTCCCCTCTTATTCCAGTTACACAACCGGGTTTGATATCAGTCATTCCCCTCTTATTCCTGTTTCACAACCGGGTTTGATACCTGTCATTCCCCACCTATTCCAGTTACACAACCGGGTTTGATACGAGTCATTCTCCTCTTATTCCAGTTACACAACCGGGTTTGATACCAGTCATTCCCTTCTTATTCCAGTTACACAAACGTGTTTGATACCAGTCATTCCCTTCTCATTCCAGTTATACAACTAGGTTTAATACCAGTCATTCTCCTTTTATTCAAGTTACACAACCGGGTTTGCTACCTGTCATTACCCTTTTATTCCAGTTACACAACCAGGTTTGATACCAGTCATTCCCTTCTTATTCCAGTTATTCCACCGGGTTTGATACCAGTCTGTATCCTTTTATTCAAGTTACACAGCCGGGTTTGATACCAGTCATTCTCCACCTATTCCAGTTATACAACCGGGTTTAATACTAGTCATTCTCCTCTTATTCCAGTTACACAACCAGGTTTGATACCAGTCATTCCCTTCTTATTCCAGTTATACAACCGGGTTTGATACTTGTCATTCCCCTCTTATTCCAGTTACACAACCAGGTTTGATACCAGTAATTCCCAACCTATTCCAGTTATACAACCGGGTTTGATACTAGTCATTCTCCTCTTATTCCAGTTACACATCCAGGTTTGATACCAGTCTGTATCCTCTTATTCCAGTTACACAGCCGGGTTTGCTACCAGTCATTCCCCTCTTATTCCAGTTACATAACCAGGTTTTATACCAGTCATTCTCTTCTTATTCCAGTCATACAACCGGGTTTGATACCAGTCTGTATCCTCTTATTCAAGTTACACAGCCGGCTTTGCTTCCAGTCATTCCCCTCTTATTCCAGTTACATAACCAGGTTTTATACCAGTCATTCCCTTCTTATTCCAGTCATACAACCGGGTTTGATACCAGTCTGTATCCTCTTATTCCAGTTACACAGCCGGGTTTGCTACCAGTCATTCCCCTCTTATTTCAGTTACACAACAGGTTTAATACCAGTAATTCCCTTCTTATTCCAGTTATACAACCGGGTTTGATACCAGTCATTCCCTTCTTATTCCAGTTATACAGCCGGGTTTGATACTTGTCATTCCCCTCTTATTCCAGTTACACAACCAGGTTTGATACCAGTCATTCCCCACCTATGCCAGTTTTCCAACCTGGTTTGATACTAGTCATTCCCCTCTTATTCTAGTTACACAACCAGGTTTGGTACCTGTCATTCCCCACCTATTCCAGTTATACAACCGGGTTTGATACCAGTCATTCCCCTACTATTCCAGTTACACAACCGGGTTTGATACCAATCATTCCTCTCTTATTTCAGTTACATAACCAGGTTTTATACCAGTCATTCCCTTCTTATTCCAGTCATACAACCGGGTTTGATACCAGTCTGTATCCTCTTATTCCAGTTACACAGCCGGGTTTGCTACCAGTCATTCCCCTCTTATTTCAGTTACACAACAGGTTTGATACCAGTAATTCCCTTCTTATTCCAGTTATACAACCGGGTTTGATACCAGTCATTCCCTTCTTATTCCAGTTATACAGCCGGGTTTGATACTTGTCATTCCCCTCTTATTCCAGTTACACAACCAGGTTTGATACCAGTCATTCCCCACCTATGCCAGTTTTCCAACCTGGTTTGATACTAGTCATTCCCCTCTTATTCTAGTTACACAACCAGGTTTGGTACCTGTCATTCCCCACCTATTCCAGTTATACAACCGGGTTTGATACCAGTCATTCCCCTACTATTCCAGTTACACAACCGGGTTTGATACCAATCATTCCTCTCTTATTTCAGTTACACAACCGGGTTTGATACTAGTCATTCTCCTCTTATTCAAATTACACAAACTGGTTTGATACCTGTCATTCCCTTTTTATTCCAGTTACACAACCGGGTTTGATACCAGTCATTCCCTTCTTATTCCAGTTACACAACCAGGTTTGATACTAGTCATTATCCTCTTATTCCAGTTACACAGCCGGGTTTGATACCTGTCATTTCCTTCTTATTCCAGTTACACAACCGGGTTAGATACCAGTCATTCCCTTCTTATTCCAGTTACACAACCGGGTTTGATACCAGTCATTTCCCTATTATTCCAGATATACAACCGGGTTTGATACCAGTCATTGCCCCCTTATTTCAGTTACACAAACGGGTTTGATACCAGTAATTTCCCTCTTTATTCCAGTTATACAACCAGGTTTGACACCAGTCATTCCCCTCTTATTCCAGGTACACAACCGGGTTTGATACCTGTCATTCCCAACCTATTCCAGGTACACAACCGGGTTTGATACCAGTAATTTCCCTCTTTATTCCAGTTTTACAACCAGGTTTGATACCAGTCATTCCCCTCTTATTCCAGGTACACAACCGGGTTTGATACCAGCAATTTCCCTCTTTATTCCAGTTATACAACCAGGTTTGATACCAGTCATTCCCCTCTTATTCCAGTTACACAACCGGATTTGATACTAGTCATTCCTCTCTTATTCCAGTTACAAATCCGGGTTTGATACCAGACAAGTAGACCAGTCTGATCCTTTTTGCGTACATTTAAATATGTATGCGGCACCGTAACGCTAAAGTTGATTGGCTTTGAAATGTCTCTTCTCTGTCATCTTCTAAGGACAAGTATCAGCCTAGCGATTGTTATTTGTTACCTGAGAGCAATCAAACAGCTACATTTGTGCCTTAGATTTTATCATGACATTTTCCAGGGCTGATAAACGGTACCACTGCATTAGTTACACTCCTAAATAATCTTCCACCAAGTTTGTCTGACTTGAAGTAATATCCGTTATATATAGAAGATGAAAAAAGCAGATGGATTTTGAACAGAGATAAAAAAAAATATGTACAAATCTAAAACCATTTAATAGCCTGGATGTGCATGTTTGTATTGTTTGGAAACGAACTGTTCGAGTAACAAAACTTACTGGAGATATTTTATATAGTATGTTCTTAAATATTGACAAAGTGACTGTCTTTCTCTAACTACTTCTTCATATGTGCATATAATTAATTACATGTCGCAAAAATACTTTAAACAAATATTTGATAATTCTGACAATTATAACAAGACAACTTAACTTGATGGTACTCGATCTTTACCTTAAGATGACATGAACAATTTCAAAATAAATCCTGATAAAGCAAGTAAATAATAACAATACCTAATCCCACAAATAAATAAAACAAAACCCTCAGTGCAGCTCACTAATGAATTAGTTGATCAGTTCAATGATAAGGACCTGTCAGTTCAAAAACCGAATTACCTTTAAATGATTTTTGGTACAGATGTCATTAACACCGATTGATCAATTTCTTGAATGTCTTTATAATATGAATTGAAATTCGAACGTAATTTCATGCACCAGACATTGGCGAATTGTTTGTGATGATATTTACATAAAGTAATACTGTACTACGAGGTCAAGTATACATCATTTACTGTATCCTCATGTTACAGTTTGATCACGTGTACCTTACCGTTCACGCACCCGATCCATACGTTCCCACACGTGTCCACACCCACCGCTGTAGGTTCATTCACCTTAAGGAATGTCCAATTAATGAGACACGTGGCTTGTGTACTATCTCCCGGTAGGACATAAACCTGATTGTTGTAGGAGTCTGGTACAAACAGTCTGTCGTACTTGTCACGTGACATCTTAAACAGGTTCCTAATAATTGGCTTTGAACTGCTGTTGTTTTCACCAGACCATTTGTATTTGGTTGTACCAAAACTGTCTGTTATGATTGATATATCAAAATGGTCTGACACTGCAATGTTTCCTGACGACAAACATGTAATACACTTCCCATCCGTTCCACACGGCACCTTCCTCACAATCGTACCTGAATGATTCAGAACCACTATGACTGGTGTACCTGTACTAACAAACACCTCGTCCTTCTCGTTGATGCTGATGTCATATGCTTTATGTGGTCTGATGTCAGCAAATGTTGTCAATAGTTTGTTGTTTAGTGATATTTTATATACAAATGTACTAGGTGGATTACTGGTCATAAGTATGTCTGTTGTTCCGACACTGGTGGTTCGGTACGGACAGAAGTCCAGTTTAACTGTCTCTTTGACCACACCCTCCCTGTTGACCAGTACAAGACCCCGGTTATGGTCTATTGATAACCACGCGTGCCTGTCGTCAACAGGAGAGATGCTTGATATTTTCTTTAGCTGAGTAACAGTAAACCTAGAAAGACGTTGAACGTTATTACTGTCGATTTTTATCTTCTCGTACTCGTGCAATTCCCCTAACATTTTCGTCAACAGAACGTGGTCGATACTTCCGGTAACAAAGCTTGGTTGTTTCGGTAGCCCGAATTTCACCTCAACGTCATACAGGGGCAAAGTTTTCCTCAATGACATTTCTGTTTGAAAAATAAATACACTAGATGTATCAATCACTTCCGCCTTTTCAAGCAGACACGTCAGCTCTTCGACATTTTTCTCTAAATTTTTAATATCGTTCTTGTACAGCAGTGATTCCTCTTTTTCTAAAGATGCTAAATCGGTCAGCACTGCTTCCGCGATAGAATCTACTTCTGCCTTTAACTTAGTCCTCTGAGAGTTTACCTCTTTCCTCGTTGTATCAATGTTGTCTTTGAACGTTTTGTTCACGCGTTGTCGCTCTGACGTCACGTTCTTGAAATGTGCTATTTTATCAGCTATCGTTGTCTTATGTTTCTTAAAATGTTCCTTTCTGACAGACAGTTCGTCTTCCAAAAGTTTCCAGTTGTGGTGTTTATGATTTTTAGATAAACATATTAAACAAAGCAACGCATCGCAATCCGAGCAGAAAAGATCATACAGTTTACCGGGATGGATTTTACATACCTGTGGTACAGGCTTGTCGCCCTGACGGTTAGCCTCTCCTATCGGTACGACGTCGTCGTTTTGAGTTTTCTTTCCTCGTTGATGGAATTCCTTACACCGGTCACATAAATTCTCCTGACAATGGTTGCAATACCATCTTACCCCGTCTTCACTGTCAAATAAAGCACAAGTGAAGGTTACGGGCTCCTGAACAATGCGTACGGGTCTGTTTCCTGCCATAGTATACGTTACTTGATTAAACACGTTAATGCTTTACCTGCAGAGAAATACAATTCTTTCTGCATTAATGTCAGTACAACTTTAACTATACACTTCCTTGTCACGGATGTATCACGTGATAAGTCCGATAACGATATAGACATATTATGTCCTTGACTCTTGGCGTGATACCAAAAATTAAAGGACTTGCTCTCGTGAAAGGTCAAAATGTTCGACTGACTTGATTGTTTTGAGACATACGTTATTTTAAAGAGAATAGGAGAAAATTTCAAATATGAAGGAAATGATATATATTTCTGCCAGTTCTTTTGCTAATGTCGTTCAAACATACACATTTTACGTAATAAGTGATTCCAAATGGTGTTATCCGAAGTATTTGACTGTTTTCACAATTGATGAAATATTTTTTCTTCTAGATTTTGTAAGTTAAAAGTCCTCAAATTATATTTTGATCTCAGAGAAGCAGTTTGGGTTTCCCCTACCCCGTATTTTTTGAATAAAATAAAACCTTCAATGTTTTCATTGTTTTTTTTTCAGTTTTAATAATTGATATAAAAAAGTATTCACTGAATTGAAAGAAAATGCGATTCCCTTCCTAAAAGGTTTCCTTATTAGTTGATCTTGAAATATTGCCTAGAAAACATTTAATGAGATAAAAATATCAACAGCTACAACAAAATGCATTGGAATTAAAATGATTGAATGATATATTTTTATTATATGAATTATCTCCCTTGTAATTAATGCACAAATTATGCACATATCTTTTTTCCTATTTCACCATTGATTAATAAATAACCTAGAGTTTAAGTCCGATAAACTATGTAATGGTCAGCGTTTTGATAGAGCAGGTGACGACATAGATATTTTTTTCCAAAAAATAAAATAATTATAGAAACTTGATATATCACTTTCAACTGTTTCCGAGATAAACTTAAAATGAAAACAAAAAAAATCATTACTGCCACATTTAGGAACAAGTTGGAAAAATAACATTTATTTTCATTGTAGGAACTGCCTCCTTTGTATTTGTAGGGAAGTTGGAACATTAGGGTGTCACCGCGATTTATATAAGGAATATGATTCACTATCTCAACCACACATAGCGTCATTAAAGCCGCATGGTCAGTAATATATGTGTCACATTATCCAACTTTTATCATTCTGATTAAAAACTGACGTCAGAGCAACGCGTGAAAAATTATCAATGTAAGATTCATTAAAAAAGACCACTTTTTTCGTAGTTATTGTACAAACAAGGAAATTGACATGATATATATACAAAACGTCGATATATACCTATGCAACTTTGACTTTCTATTTACGTAGTAAAACATGTAGCAATCTGACGGCTTGCTTAATTTTAAAATTTAAATGGAGCGGCGTACAGGTGGATGGATACTGTTACCGCTGGTGATCTGTTTAACATACAGCCAAGGTAAAATTAGATACCACATTCATTCATATACTTGGTACTATTTCAGTTTGCTCAATATAAACCCTAGCTCAGAATTATGGAAAAAATTATTGTGATATATATAAGTATGTGTAATGAAAATATATCGGTTTTGGCTTGACTGTCTAAATGGTAAATCCAAATGTGGAAACAATTGACTTTATTGCAGAAATACCTAGTGAGAAAACTTTCAATCTGTACGTTTAAAATCCAAGTTTTTGCAGTAAACACAATATACAAAACATATTCTGGGAATTAGTTAAATTTGATGGACAATTTATTTTTCTTACAGCCCGGCTATGTTTCATCTGTGGATATAACGCACCTACAGACGGAAAAATGGGCATCAATTGTGTGGACGATACGTCTAAGGTAGCAGAATACAGTAGAAATGGCCCGACTCTGATAAACAAGGCACATGTCGAGGAAATGTAAACACAGCGGATTTACCCTACACAACACATGTATACATGTATATATATTTGTAAACTGCATTACATTTACAACACATATAAAGTACTGAGAAGTGTATAAACCTCTTTTTTCTATGTATGTCACTTGTGTGAAAACAATGGTTACCCTATCAAAAATTACCAAAAAATGCCAAAAAATGCCAAAAATTGCTATTTTTAACCCAAAATGTGACCCCCGCAACTAGTATTTTTTTTCTAAGCTCTGTCTGAAATTAAAGATTACCTACCTGGTTGCAGAATTATCTGGGTCCCAGTAAAGTTGTAAAACTATTGTTTTTGCAATTTTGCGTCGTGTGCTGTTGTCAAAATTTTACTTCCTGTAAAGCTAGCTTTTCATGTGTACGCAACCTTTCGGATTATGGCCAAAATTTTTATTCTCGAACCAAAAAAATCTTCTCTCTTTTTTACAAATGTGAAGCTCACATATCCCACTTCATCATGCTTATACCAATTTTAGTACAGTTTTATTTTTATATTTCTTTTACATATCATTATACAGGTGTTAGCCATTTAACAAAAATATCACCCATGGCCACAACCCTCTACTGTACACTGCTACCTACAGCAAGTGTCCATACCAATTGCTCCAACGACCGGGTGTGTACATTCGATGTCCAGCTCCTCAAAAGTAAGTCCCATATTTTTTTTTTATATCTATTTTGCTATTTTATGCTTTAAAGAAAGTTGAGTCATTCATTGAAATAAATTCACGATACAGTATTTTTGTCTTTTTTAAATCAGTCTTTTTTTGTTTGTGGCCGTACGAAAATGTCCTTCTGTGGTCTGGTTCCATCCAAATAGGTCTTTCTGTGGTTTTAATTAAGGATCTTACACAAGTTGACATTTCTATGAGATTTATGAAAAAAGTCTGTAGCAACATATAATATCAATGAACTATCAAATGCGTTCAGTATCATTCTATTCGCCATCGTTATTTCGTACTAACCGATAGTTGTAATAAAGAGGAAAAATTCCGAGAACACGGAGACCACAATCAACATCAATAGCCAATTTCAATCAGAATCTCTGATTCATGACAACAGTGTTTTAAAAGAGTTTCCAAATTAAACGAAATCTAGCGAGCTATAATTAGAATAAGTGAGCATCATGAATCTTATATGAAAATTAAACGAATATAAGATACTCTTTATCACTTAATCTACATATGTTTCAATTAATCACGAATTTGGTTTACCTGACAAATGAAATAATAATTATCGACATTTCACTTTAATCCTTTTTGTTTTATGACGTAACAATGCAAATTAAGATTAGTGACGTCATGAAGTCATGGCATCACGATTAAAACTATACAAATCTACAGCCAGTAACAGCTTCGCTAGGTGCTATAACCATGATGACAGGATATTTTTGCGTCAAATATATGTTTACTCGTTATTATTTGCGTCATTCAGTGGTTTAAAAGACCACACTGACCAAGCATAACGAAACCTGCACATAGTTGATGCATTCAAAATCGCATCAGAAGCAAAATATAAATGAAGATAATTTCTGACACACAATGTCCGTTTTCTGTAGGTTCACTCGAGTTTGTGTCAGTGACCCGGAACTGTCTTCCATCCTCCGCCCCTCGTTCCAACACGTGCTTAGACGACTGGACACACCGACAGTGTACATTTTCATGTAATACGTACTTGTGTAACAGCTTGACGGCCCAGGAACTCAACAATCGATACGGCGACAGGGGAGCGAACTCTGCACATTCCTCGGTCGAAATTATCTCCCTTGTTTCCAGTTCTCTCGTGGTGTGCACTGTTTGGATTGTAAAGACACGGATTAGTCTCTAATTGGTGTAAGACATATATTACGGAACCTTGTAAATCCGTAATCCGGAAATCAAGAAAGAACGTTGTCTAGATATTGATATAAGATACATTGTTTCCACTTCGAGGAAAGGGAGACAAACAGAAAATATGTTTCTCTTTCCAGTTACTACACAATATCCACCTGCACGTAAAGTTCTATGACTAATAAAATATTAAATCATACATTATTACAGCTCTTAATCATCAAGTTAAAAAATTGTGAAGATTTAAATAATTACTATTTTCCAATCGTTTTTTAGTGTTAATAAGTTTAACCTTTATGTTTTTCAAAACATGATTTATTCGGGTATCTTATGTATGTTATACATGTGTCATACGCTGGACATCTACGTGAGATTAATAGTATATTTCGCCCCTTTTGGTTTAATAAAGTGAATCCCTTATCATGGCGAGGTGTATCCACGTCTGCCCTAGTGTGATAATCATTTACTATTTGTCCTTTTGGGTCTTAGATAGGGAATCTAGGACCGAAAGAGAAGATTCCTAAGTAGTCAAACACGACGCTCGCCAAGTGTTTGGCAACTGCGGTATCTTAAAAACTGTTAACTCCTTCCCGATGGTGGATATTTTCCCGTTTTATCCCAAAATAATTGGATTATTCTTTTTCTCTTATCCTGTTTGCTCTGTCATCTGTTCAATGTTGACATTGACATTTGCAACGAAATAGTTGGAAACCGTTATTAATCATGCGAATGTTGTTTGATCAATGATAATTATATGCACTGCATCCTCTTTTTCTTCCATTGCCCCATCGTAAACTTTTCTATAAGGATTGCCTCCCTCCATTGATATTCAATACATGTTTCTTATGCGTCTTTGGAATGTGTCCTTAATTCTTTTATTCTTTCAATCATTTTGTGTACGTCTAACACGTGTCATAAATATTTGCGCACGGTTGAAATGTGTCATACATTCTCTTATACCCCTGAAATGTGTCATCAATACTTGAATTCCGCTCAAATTTGTCCTCAGCGTTTGTTTATTATGTTAATGTTCTCAATTTAATTATAACATCAATTAATATATTTAGTTTGAATTACCAATCTTACATTATGTTTTAGTGTGAATCTCTCATGGATATGAAATGGAAGTCAGTTCAGACAGCATATAGGTTGTGATGTGAAGTCACAAAGAGAAAACATATATTCCGTTTGGGCTAGGTTCTTAGTTCTCGGTGCGTTTGACGCTGGATTCACTTTAACTATAACATCTGAACGACTCACG